CCACTCACCCCGGCTGAGGGTCAGGGCTGCCTCTGGCCACATGGGGTGGATGGCAGCCCAGAGATGCTGGAGCAGGCCAGGCCCAAGGCCTCTACCAGAGCCTCAGCCTCTGCACCCTGGGCCAGGACCTTCTGCCAGCTCTGAAGGCACTGCCTCTCCTACCCGACACCCCAAGGCCTCCCCTTCTCCATATTTACAAGAAGAAAATCCCCTTCTGAGCACAGCCAAGGCCCCACAAGTCTCTCTCACTAAACCCTCCACCTGAAGATCAGATGTCAGCTCAGACTGGGCCTGCCATACCTTCCTCCATGTCAGTTGGGTCTCAAAGAGGCAGGTGACAGGAGTCCTCCCTCCAGGTCCCCCCATGGTGTCATGGCTTCTACAGTGATCTGAGGCCACACTTAGACAAAGTAGCAGACCATCCCCACTCCCCTGTCCTCTCACAGGGACTTGCCATGCATTGCTGATGGCGTGTGCCCTCAGTGACAGCCAGGTGCCCTGTAGTGTGTGTCACCAAACCAGGTGGACAACTGCTCAGCCAACCCCCATGCAACATGGTCTCACCTCCCCTCCACACACAGCGTCTGCCCCCTCAGGCCAGCCTTGGGAACAGTCCTGCTCAAGGTCAGCCAGCCCAACATCCCAGCCAGCCAGCATCGCTAAAGGGTTTCCTTTATGCGGAGCCAGAGGTGAGGAGGGGGAGCCACTGGACTGAAATCCATCAGGACTGTAACATTGCCAGGTCAATATGGCATCCAGAAAAAATTGAGCCAGGCCAGGGGTCCCCTCACCGGTAATCTGGTGGCAATCGAATCTGGGAGCATGTGACTATCAAGCCCAGACTTTCTCTTTGAAAGCAAGCAGCACAACTGACAGTAAAACCCGCTATCAGTAACATCGGGGTTCAGCTTGGTGACCAGAGGAAGCCTGGGGAAAGATTTCTGAGGGGCCCAGAAGGGGCCATGGGTCAATGGCCAAGCTCAGGTCCTCCTGTCCATCCCCCAGCAGGCAGCGCCATACTGCGTCACAGGCAGCACTGAGCTGAGTCCAAGCAAAAACAAAGCAAAGGGGACACCAGTGTGCTGAGAGGTGACACCTTACACATTGTTGCTGATCAGGGCAGAGGGGACAGCAGAGAGCTCGGCAGAGCCGTGTGGGTCAGCGGTGGGAGGAGGGCAGCTGGAGCAGAACAGAGTCCGTCCAAGGTGCAGCAGCCCCGTCACAACCCAGCCGATGTAGAGCGAGGTGGAGTCTGCAGATAGCTGTGGGCTTCAGGGATGACGCTGATGCCGTCAAGGTCACTGTCACCATGAGCATCAAGCCAGCACCAGGAAAGACACGCCCTCTGCAACCATGATCTAGGTTGGAGTTCTCATCGTCCACCCTCCTGGTGCTCTGGCCCCTGACCAACGACAGAAGCAAACCCTGTGCAGCGACAACGATGTGGCTACCCCCTGATCCCATGGCAGCTCCAGAAGTGAGTACTGAACACTGCTGCCTCTCGCCTGTATATGGCGCCAGGCAGGCCCTCCACAGACCCTCCCCGATGATCTGTTCTCTGATGGCTTGGGAGTTGAAAATGGCCCTCACTCACCACTAGGATAGCACACAGGACAGCATGGCGCCCAACCAGCCCAACACAGCTAAGGCGGTGCCCAAAAACTTCGGCCATGGAAGCCATCTGCTGGAGTCCAGGACGTAGAAGACCTAGGGATTCGGCTCTGCAGGCTGTAGAATTCCAAAGGCTGCTGCTGACCCTCCAAGTAGCAAAGGAAGCTTTCCCTGTGAGGGGGACAAAGCCAGTCGAGGATGCTGCCTGAGAGTCAGATGCACCAGCCAGCACGTGTGACGGGACCAGTTCCCTCCTGACAATGGTGCCATATAGATCTGAGGCTATAGATTAAGTATTTATGTCACCCATGGCAGGGGGCGGGGACAGAGGGAGGGGCTTCAGTCCCAGGGACTCCCTGTACCCAGTGTCTATGCATCTGAGCCATGATCAATGATGGCACTGAAAGACCCCAGCCATGGGTCCCTGAGTCACCGTACAGTGTGGAAAACCCTTCCATGGCTGTCCAGGCCCATGGGGAGGTAAACCTGGAGATGGAAACTGGGTCACAGCCCAGGGGCAACTGGATGCTCACAGGGTGGGGGTGGGGGTGTGAGTGGGGGAGGAGCAGCAGCCAAGCCCTGGAAAGTTCACAGCCCCAGACCAGGGTCCCCACACTGCAGTCTCCTCACTAGAAGCTTGGGTGGAAAGGAAGGATGGGGACCCTTCGTGGGGAGGAGAGGACGAAGTCCTGGGAAGGTCACAGAGAAAGGCCACCTTAATTACTGTTATTCTGTCCTTATTACTTTCATCACAGGTTGTCACTATTATTGTCATGAAGTCATCACTAGGCACTGCCTCACCAGCCACTTTCCTGGCATTGACCAAGGAGGCTGAGTTTGGGGGGGACTTCTGTGTCCTTCATCTGTGGTCCCTGTTGCTCTCATGTCACTTTCTTACCCAGCCAGGGGAGAGTTCCTTGGCGGTGATGCACTTTAAGTCAGGGCAAGAGACACAGATGTCTGTCCCCTCCTCCTGCTGGGGTTGAGCCCGCTCAGCCAGAACTGGGTGGGGGAGAGCAAGCCATGGCCAGGCCCTGGGGACATTGTCCTGCCAGTCAGTGGTGCTTACTCTGTAAAGACACAGTATTCTGCTGGGCAAGGTGGCTTGCTCCTGTAATCCCAGCTACTGTGAATGCAGAGATCAGTACAATGGTGGTTCCAAGCACAGCCACAAAATTGGCGAGACCCCATCTCAACTAATAAACCAGGCATTATGTGTATGTGTGCCTGTGATCCCAGCTACACAGGAGGCCACAGGTAGGAGGATCATGATCTGAGGCTGGTCTTGAGCAAAAATGTAAGACCTTATCTGAAAAAAATAATTAAGTCAAAAAGGGCTCGGGGACATGGCGCCAGTGGTACAGTGCCTGCCTAGCCAGCGTGAGGCCCTGAGTTCAAACCCTAGAATGGAGGTCAGCACGCTCCGTTAACCTCTAAGTTTATTTAAGCCTTGGAACCTTATCATATCTTCATCCGAGCAGCCAAAGTTAAACAGTGCTGCTCTGGACGCCCAGGAGAGAAGTTGATTTAAGATAGGGCTGTATCAGCGGTTACTCAACCTCTTGGTGGCTCCTGCTGCATGGCAAAGGCCATGTTCCCTGTCACCCAGCGCAGGAGCCCTGGGAGCCCTGCCTCTGAGCTGTGGCCCAAAGTGAGGTCTCACCGCTGAAGGGACCCAGTGACTTTGTGGGCTCGTGAGCAGCCCTGTGGGTGTCAGACAGCCACTTCTTCCCCCAGCCCAGTGTCTGTCCTACGGGCTGTGACCACAGTGGCCGCTGTGGCAAGGAGGAGTCATTAAAGGACAAATATTGAGGGTGGGATGTGGTTCAGTGGTAGACTGCTTGCCTCGCATGTGTGAGGCTCTGGGTTCCATCACCAGCACTGCCAAAACCTTCCAGTGACCCAAGTGACAACAAGAATTAAGTTGATCTGGGTGCTGGTGGCTCACACCTGTAATCCTAGCCACTCAGGAGGCAGAGATCAGGAGGATTACAGTTCTAAGCCAGCCCAGGCAAATAGTTTGCAAGACCCTATTATGAAAAAAACCATCACAAAAAAGGTCTAGTGGATTGGCTCAAGGTGTAGGCCCTGAGTTCAAATGCCAGTACAAGAAAAAAAATAGAAAACTCATTCCTGTAATCTTGGCTACACTGGAGGCTGAGATCAGCAGGATGGAGGTTCAAGGTCATAGACAAACTACACCTTAGTTACTGTTGCCCTGTCCTTATCACTTTATCGCAGGCATTATAGCTATTATTGTCATGAAGTCATCACTAGGCACTTGGCCTCACCAGCAACTTTCTTGGCATTGACCAAGGAGGCTGAGTTTGGGGAATGAGGAGCTGGAGGAGGGGGAACAGAGACTCCTGGGTCCCTGACACTCTCATGTCACTTCCTCACCCAGCCAGGAGAGATGACCTTAAAGATGATGCACTTTCAGTTTGAGCAAGAGACACAGACTTCTGTCCCCCCCTCCTGTTGTGGTTGAGTCTGCTCTGGCAGAACTGAGCTGGAGAGAGCAAGCCATGCTCCTGGGGACATCACTTGCCCATTAAGTGATGTTTACAGTGGTGACAATACAGAGACATTTGTGAAATGGTTCCCACCTGTAAATCCAACTACTCAGGAGGTAGAGATTGGGAGGATCAAGATTGGAGGCCAATACAAGCAACAAGTTAGCAAGACTTCATCTCAACCAATAAGCAGGATTTGGTGGCACATGCCTGTTATCCCAGCAATGCAGAGGCCTAGGTACAAGGATTGGGTCTACTCCAGCTCTGGCAAATCATGACACCCTGTTCAAAAAATAATGCAAAGTGGATGGGAGTGTGGCTCAAGTGATAGAGCACTGGCCTAGCAAGCCAGAGGCCTTGAGTTCAAACCCTACTACAGCCAAAAGTGAAACAAAACAAAAGATACAAGACATCTGATAAAGGCACGATGGGTACAAAGTGCCCTGAGGATTCAAGGAAAGAGAGTGCTCAGTCCAGGGTGCAGGCGGGGGAGCTCAGCAAAGAACGGGTGCTGCACAGCACAACTCCAGGGACACTTATGCTACAGGGGAACCAAACAGCTCAGAACACTGTGACTGGGTCCCTGAGGGGCGAGGGGAAGGCAGGGGAGCGGGTGAAACGCTCAGAAATCTCTGTCTCATGTGTCCCCAGGCTTGGCACAGCACAGAAGTTGGCATAGACTGGTGTCCTCACACTTTCAAAAGGTGCCCATGGCTGGTGGAGTGGCAAGTGTGGGGCCCTGACTTCAAAACCACAATACTGCCAAGAAAAGGTGCCATGACCTCACCCAGCCTGCCCATCAGTACCCAGGGCCAGGGTTCCCGTGGCCTCCACTCCAGTGAGAAAACTGAGGCCTAGAGAGAAGCAGGGACTCACCTTAGACAGGCAGCCCTTCCCAAGCTGCTCCTGACCTGCCATGCCTGTCCAAGCAGACTTGTAGCAAGCATTGTGACAACAGAAGGATAGAGTCCTGGAACGTCATCGACAAACACCAACTTGATTATTGTTGTCCTGTAACTACCACCACTTTCACCACCCCTTACTCACTTCCTGCTGTCACTTCTCCCTTCTGGGACACAGCCAAAAATCACTTGGAGAAGCAGAAGTGAGGTGGGGGGAAGGAAATCAGCTCTAGAACTTTCCACCTGTGCCCAGCAGAAGTGACAAAGTGAGCCTGCTGGGCTCAGTCAAGCACATCAGGAGTAGAGTAGGGAGGACTGGGGGCAGGAGACTGCAGGGGCAGAAGGACACCAGCTGAGAGGCAGCCAAACCAGGGAAGATGAGCAGGAGCAGGTGGGGCTGGGGGACCAGGTAGGAAGAAGAAGCAAAAGCAGTGTCCCAGGGGTGCAGCGAGAGCCCAGTACAGACACAGAGCTGGGACACATGGCTGACACCTGATTGATGTCAAGGCACAGGTGGCTCTGAGGCAGGCTAGCACTGGGACCTGAGTCATGAGAACTAAAGCAAGCCAAAAATCAGGAGTGAGTTAGAAATTAAGCCAGGTGGTGGTGGCTCCCACCTATAATCCCAGCTACTTAGGAGGCAGAGATCAGGAGGATCGTGGTTGGAAGCCAGCCTGGGCAAATAGTTCATGAGACCCTATCTCTAAAATACACAACACAAAAAAGGGCTGGCAGAGTGTTTCAAATGGTAAAGTGTCTGCCTAGCAAGCATGAGGCCCTGAGTTCAAACCCCAGGGTCGCCAAAAAATAAAATGAAAATTAAACATTATGCTGGGTAATCTTGTAAGAAAAGCATACAATTTATTTTTCCCTCAGAACGCCCCCTCCATTGAATTAAAATGTACAGTTAAGATAAATCTCTAGAGCTGTCTCAGGTGTTTAATGGTCCCAAGAACTAAACCTGCCCGTGTAGCGAGTCCTCTGATTAGAAAATTACTCCGAAAAATACAAGAAATAGGCTCCCACATCACGAGATCCTTCCTTTGCTGAGAAGACCAGTGACACAGCGGCCAGTTGATGGCTGAGAAGGATGACTTGGAAGTTGACAGGAATCACATCCTGGCTGGCTGACATTAACAGTGTGACTTGTTACACACAGTGGGGTCTGGCACACCCACAGCATGTGGACAATGACAACCTTGGTGTGACATCCAAGGCCAAGAACTCCCCACCTGACACATGTGGGAGACACGGCAATGACCGATTAACCCATTTTCTAGGACTGACCACCCCCATCTCTGCACACCCCAAGAAAAGCTTGAGGTCTGGGCTGGCGGAGTGGCTCAAGTGGTAGAGTTTCGGCCTAGCAAGCCCAAGGCTCTGAGTTCAAAGGTTAGAACCGCAACTCATAAGCAGGAATGACAGTCCAATGGGGGTCTGTCCAAAATGGTGATACATTGATATACAGTAAGTCTAATTCCCAGAAAAGGCACTGACAACAAAGATTTCACCCTGTCAAGACTGCCAGCGTCAGTTACAGAAGAAAAGGATCTTTCACCTTACACCCACCCCACAGAAATGCAGTCCCTAAGGCAGAGGGAGGAGCATGGAAAGTTCCAGTGCAGCCTGGGCTACACAGTGACCCCATTTCCAAAAAAAGCTCATCCAGCTTGGAAATTGGTGCAAAATTATTTTCGTCATCAGAGTGAATCCCCGGCCCCCTGCAATTACTGATAGCTTGTTGTAGGGTCAGCTGTGCTGCTGGCTTCAAAAGATAAAGATAGCCTCAATTCCCATCTGATCACCAAAGAAATATGAAATACTTCCAACCACAGGGGAAGTCCACACTGGTGCCATCTGGTCCAGGTGCCATGTTGACTGCGGGTGGCCTGGCCCATTTATAATTTCACTATAATGCTAGCACACTACATGCACCAGCACCGTGACTGATCTAGCCAACCCCACAAAGAGAAGAAAAAAGATGTCACCTGATCCCTGGAAATCCCCTCCTTTCTCCTTGACAATCTCTGAGGACAGCAGGAGGCCACAGCCTCATAACTCAGCCTTAATAGAACCCAGAGACCAGACCGCTCAGAGGAGGGGAATGCAGAAAATGAGTCCCCCACCATGTTCACTGCCACTTTGTCTAAGTGTGGTCTCAGACCACTGTAGATGCCAGGACGCCATGGAGGGACCTGCCTCTTTTTGACCCATCTGACATGGTAGAGGGGGTGATAGGGCCAGGTCTGGGCTGACATCTGGTCTTCGGGTGGAGGGTTTAGTAAGAGATGCTCGTGGGGCCTTGGCTGTGCCCAGAAGGGGACTCTTTTCTAGTAAATATGGAGAAGGGTGTCGGGTAGGAGAGGCAGTGCCTTCAGAGCTGGCAGAAGGTCCTGGCCCAGGGTGCAGAGGCTGAGGCTCTGGTAGAGGCCTTGGGCCGGGCCTGCTCCAGCATCTCTGGGCTGCCATCCACCCCATGTGGCCAGAGGCAGCCCTGACCCTCAGCCGGGGTGAGTGGCACTCACTCATGCCCAGTCCTGCCACCTCCCAGCTGGGTCCCTGCCTCTTGGGAGGGCAGAAGTCCCTGATGTAGATGTATTGGGAGCAAATGAGTCAGACAGGAGGTAGAGACTGGGTCTAGGGGTGGCAGGACATTTGCTAATGGGGGCAGACAGAAGACAGGAGTTACTGGGGAGACCTCACTTCAGAAGCTACCAGGCCAGCGCCAAAGGCCATGTTAGGATCAGGGCACTGGGGCCAGGCCTTGTAGGGCTTGGGTGAGACAGTCACTGCCAGGCTGGTGGCTTGCTACAGCACGGCAGCCACTTGCTAGGGACTGAGTGCTTAGTGTACACACCAAGTGGCCCAGTGTTTGTGGGAACCCTGTGTGGGGTGGCCTGGCACCTGTCAGCTGTTCTAGATAGGGAGGATTTACAGATCTTATGAGCAGCTGAGACCTGGCAGTGTGGTCTGGGGACTGTTTTGCCACCAGGGCCCCAGGTCCTTGTCATCCTTCCTCCGCCGGGCCTTTGTCCTCCTTCTGTCACCTCCTTGCGGCTGGTACCCTTGTGCAGGAAGAAGGGAAAGGACAAAAGCGTCTTCAGGTGAGTTTAGATCTTCACAATGCTCTGAGCCTCCTGCTTTTCCTATTGGTCAGCCTGGGTCACAACCAGGCCTGGCCAGTGGCTGGAAGGGACTTGGCCAATGGGGGAAGGGTGTCACACTGGTAGTCTCTTCTGCCTTATAGTGCATTTAAATCAATAAATATCCCTTGGGCAGGAACTGATGTCACAGGTGTGCATCAGAGAAGACCCTACCCATCTAGGGGCAGTGGGGGAGGGGAGCTCCCTGTTCTGACTCTGTGAGTCCTCAACGTGCAGCCTCTTCCTCTGAGCCTCCTTCCTCCCGAGGCATGGAGCCAGGGTTGGGGGGGTGGGGGGAGAATGCCTTTGACACTGCCCCTCTCAGCAATGGCAGTCCTGCTGGACCTTCGGAGGGTGGCTTGTGTTGCTGCCAGAGCCAACCCTAGACCTGCCCACGTAGCCCCTCGGTGCCACCCCTCACCGGTGTGCTGATCACTGGTCAGAGGGCCACACAGTGGTTGTCCTGTCACTGCTCCCACAGGGCTGGCTCTTGAGCTATGGGTGACCCTGATGGGGGCTGGTGGTTTCTGCTTGCTGTCTCCCAGGCATGGCCCCTTCCCACCCACTCCTCTCCCCATGGACTCTGCATTTGTTTTCTCAGCCTAGGAATCTGTGTGAGCCCCGGTGTTGGAAGGCCTTTTGTGACCATTGAGTTTTCTTCTCTCTCCAGTCTTTTGTTTGCTCCAGTCCTCAGTTTTTGGAACCCAAAAGCATTTTGCTCAAAGTGCCCCTCCCCCACACCCACCAGGTTCCACCACAGTGCAGGGAATAGAAAACAGTTGTGGTCCAGCTACTCGGGAGACAGAGGTTGTGAGGACTGTGGTTCATGGGCAACCAGGGCAAAAAAAAAAAAAAGTGAGACCCCATCTCAATGAATAAATTAGGTATGGTAGAAAATTCCTGTAACTCCAGCCATGTGGAAGGCATAGGTAGGAGGATCGAGGTCCAGGCCAGCCTGGGCAATAAGAGAGACCTTTTCTAAAATTACTCTAAATCATGAAGTGCAAGAGGTTTGGGTGAAAGGACGAGATTGTGAGAGGGTGTGTGCACACGCACAGGAACAACTGCAATTCTTTAGAACACTGGTGTGTGAAAATCCAATCCCCTGTGGTTGGAAGAGTGGGATTTGCTATTTTCTCCAACAGCAAGAATTCCAGTGGAGAACCAAGGCCAAGGCCGGCCCAGGGATCCCCTGAGACCCCAAGGTTCCTGGTTTTCCTTCTGTCATTTGTCAACCCTGCCAGCTCCTTTTGGTCACACCATGGACCTCCTTGTGACCTCCCATGCAAAACCTTAAGGCCTCCTGGGAACAGGAAACGGAGTGCAATGGGGGGGGTGGGCTTCCCTTTTCTTGTTCTTTGGGGGAGGTACTTCCCAGAAGTCTCAGTGGCTGGGAAAGCACAGCCTGGCACTTTCAGCTCAGGGGTGGGAAGTAAGCACTGCGGGGGACATGCCTGCTGCTTGGGGTGCGGTCACTTTTGTGCTCATGTGTGCCTGTGACACTGATGGATGGAGATGCTGCAGGTGCTCCAGGACCCGAGCCTTGGGCTGTGTGGTCTCCAGCTGCATGGTTCACCGTCTGTCCCCAGGCTGAGTGACCAGCAGTCTGAGAGGTCCCAGGCCACGTAGTCTCAGACTGTGTGGTCCCAGGCTGAGTGGTCACCTCCTTGAGGCCCCCAACATGCAGACTCACTCTCCAACCCTGAGCGAGTTCCGGGCAGGTGCAGTCTGAAGTGCAGTTTACTGGGATGGCTCCAGCAGGCCGTGGCAGTTACTTTGGCAGCAGCAGGTGTCTGGAGATATCAGGGTGGCCAACAAAGGGGGGTAGCCTTGTTGTGGATGGGTGTGGAGTTCTGGGTCGAGGACAGCCACTTTCCTTCCTTTTGGTTTACCTTCTCTTCTCCCACCTCCCCTCTCTGTCCCTCCCCCTCCGCCGACACCCTCTCCTCTATAAACTGAGACAAGCAGGAGCTGCCAGGCTTGGTCGCCTTAACTAGCATGTACATACCTTTGACTCCCAACTGTGCACAGGACATTTGTCCCTTGGGAGCCCCAGAGACACACCCACACCTGTTACTTTCAAGTGTCTCATGAAAAATCTCCAACACACACACAAAAGAAGAGCCCAGGACAAGACTTGCGCTGTACATTTCACCTCCTAGTTTGAACCGTTAACAAAACAGTCCTGGCCAACACGAGGTTTCCGCAGTGTCCCCCAGATGACCTTAAATCCCCTGCTTCAAGTCCCAAATCTAATTTCCTTGCCACCCTTATCTCTGGCCTCTGTCTTCATGGTTCAGCCTCCCTGGCCCCTGCCAGGGCTGCAGTGTGCCCCTGCTGTCCAGGGCCTTTGCACGGCTCCTTTCTGGATCTTCCTTCAGATCTTTGCTCCCATGGTTTATTTTTAAGCTTCAGGATTCCACCACCCAGAAAATGTAATTGTTAGCATTTGGGCATTATTTCACCATAGTGTTTGAAAAGAAAGGGGGAAACAAACCCTTCCTTTCCATTCTCTCTCTACAACCTGCTAGTCCAGCTACAGCCATCAAAGTACTGGGAAGTTCTAAATTTTTTACGTCTGTCTATCTATTTATCTAGCTAGCTAAAAAAAATGTACAAACTACATTCTCCAACAGGGTAAGTGGCTCCAAAACTATTCCCTCAGAATTTAAGAATCCACACAGGTATGGGATCAAATAAAATTCCATGTGAGACGTGGTGCCTACCGTTTCTGGGTCCTGTAGTTGTCCTTATCCTCTTACTTGTGTGTGACCTTGCATTCTAACCTTACTAGTCAAGTTCATTTCCTCTCGCCTAGAATCCATCAAACTACAGATGCTCATAAAAATAATGACGACCTACAACCCTGGTCCCCTCCATAACCCCTCTGGAGGTCAGCCCTGATGCTGTGGGCCCCTTCGCCGTCCCCTTTCAGCAGGAATCAGTTACCGAATGGACTTCGTTGTCCCTGTCCTGATGGCAGGGCAATCTTGAGACTGTGACTTGAAGGACAGACTGCGGAAGGACCACATGTTCCCCAAAGATGGCCATTAACCAGGGAGAAACGCCCCTTCTCCTTCCCAAGAAACTCCTGATTGCGCCAGAAGCCGCCTCTCCTTCCCAAGAGACACCTGCTCACGCCAAAATCCGGCAATAAAAAAGCTGTAAACCCAACGTCCAAGCTGACTCGAGGACTTCCGGTTTCCGGGCCCCCTCATGTCCCCCATGTGGCCTTTCCTGTCTCTTCTCTACAAATTAATCTTCTCTGACCTTTGCTGCTCGAGTCACCTCTGATTCCATCTGAGCGCAGAAAAGGACCCTCGCCTCCCGAGAATCGCAGCGCACCGCCCTGCCCCGTTTCTCCCTCTGTTTCTCCCTCCATGTCTGCACCCCGACCATGGCTGGAGGGCTGGCTTTGCCTCTCCCGTGACCACCTGTGCCAAGTCATAAACCTCCTGTCTTTATTTGGTGTGTTGGGGGGAGTGGCGAGTTCACATGTGGAAACATTCAGTTTACTTACCCAGTTCACTACTGATGAGGAAACACAGCCTGTGTGATTGTCTTTCTTTTCTTTTTCTTTTTTCTTTTGGTGGTACTGGGACTTGAACTCAGAGCCTCACACTTGCTAGGCAGGCACTTTATCACTTGAGCCACACGCTATTCATTTTCGTGTTGGGTATTTTCAAGAAAAGGGCTTGTGAACTATTTGCCCAGGGCTGGCTTTGAACCTCGATCCTCTTGATCTCTGCCTCCTGAGTAGCAGGGATTACAGGCGTGAGCCTCTGGTGCCCGACTCTGTGTGCCTCTTTCTTCACAAGTGACATTTCTAGCACTGCTTTTCAGGGTGAAGCTTGTGAGCTATTGGAGGCTGTAGAAACTAGAAGAGTCCATTACACACAGTATGGATGATTGTTGGGTTAATTCAGGGAGTCTGTCTGTCTGGATGCAGCGTCAGGCTGGGGAGATGGTGGCCCCTGATTGTGGAGGCCAATCCAGACTGCAAGGGGCTGGTAGGATTGCAGGGTCATTGTGGGGAGAGGACATGGTCAGGGCTCTGTAGGGGCAGGATTGTCAGGCTGTCACCAGGTCTCACTTCATCTCACAACTTCCCAAGGATGCAAAGCCAACTGTTGCTGCTTTGCACATAGAAAACCCAGGCAAGGACCCAGGTGGGTTTACCTGGTTGTAGCCTGGAGCCCAGTGGTCCTAGAAGTGGTGCTTTCAGGTCAGGTGGTGGGGGGACGCCAGCATCTGGGGCAGGCTGCCACCCTCCTCCTGAGCCATTCTTCTGTGGTGCCACGGCCTCCCTGTGCCCAGCTCACCTCAGTCTCCTGGTTTTCCCTTAACCACCCTTCTAGAGGAGGCCCTGGGGTCACCAGCACAGCCCCATTTCACAGGAAAGGATGTTGCATGGGACATTGAGGGACTGGACTTGTACATCCTAAGCCTCTTGGGTTTGGTGGGGGCTGGAGGTGTCAAGAATATTCCCTCCGTGACAAGGAGGACCTCCCTCCCCCATCACTCCCATCTGGGCCGGGACATGCAGACCACAAAGTCTTTATGGAGTGGATGCTCAGAAATCCCCAAGGACCAGGCCCGCCAGAGATTCTGGGCTCTGGAATGCAAGGCAGGACCAGCCATGCCCCCACCGCCTTTGATGATGGGCTCTCTAGTTAGAGAAATCAGCCAATCAAAGCAAAGCAGTGACACCCCACCTCCTTTCACCAGCCAAGGAGCTCAAGGCCCGTTCCCTCCCACAGCCTGGGAGAATTACAGAATTTTTGAGACGTGTTGCGGCCAGCAGTGGGTTTATGGAGACGTCCTATAATTCGCCCTGTTCAGGATGGGGGCGCTGGAAACCGCACTTGACCTCTGAGCAGCTGAAATGTGGCTGGGGAACCTCACGGAGTGAATTTTGTATTTCTCAGACAGTATCTCACTATAGCCCAGGCTGGCCTTGACCTCAGGCTCCTCTTGTTCTGACTGCCATGTGCTGGGATTACAGGCGTATCCTTCCACGCACGACTGGCCAATCGAATTTCAACTCTTATTTTATATTCACCATTTACAGTTCTGTGTGGTGGTGGCCACCTGATTTGTCAGTCCAGGGCGTCTGGCCACACAGTACCATCCCCATCTACCTTAACACAGAGATTTTCTTCTCTTTTTTTGAATTCACCCTTTTGAAACAACGGCTCTACCCCTGAGCTCCACCCCAAGTCCAATAGTGATTTTGCCAAGAGCAGTTGTTACTGGAGGCAGTTTTTAAAGTACTAAGGGACACTGAGCTTTCAGATATCACCACACCCACGTCTGTAGTAGTCTCAGGACAGGGCATGGTGAGGATGTGTGAAATCCATCATCTCAGTTGCAACCCAGCACCTGCCTGGTACTCCCTAACCAAGGCGGATCTGTAGCTCCGATATGAGCAGTTGAGATGGACCATGTCGTCAGGGGGCTCAATCTTGCCCTGGTCTTCAGGACCTGCCTGGTTTTGGCTGCTACCCCTGCATTCCCACCCTGTGAGCAACCAGGTGCCCTGGGCTGTGACTCAGCCTCTGCCTGTAGGCTGACCTCAGCAGGCTGGGGGAGGAGAGAGGACCTGGACCTGGGACCTGCACTGGCCATGCTTAGAAATACAGAAACTGACTGGGCTAGGATGACTAGTGACTGTAATCCCAGCAACTAAGTTGGCAGACCTAGTGGATCATGGTTCAAAGCCAAACTTGGGAATAGTTTGTGAGACCCTAACTTGAAAAAACCCATCAGGACAAATGGCTGGTGGAGTGGCTCAAGGTGTAGACCCTGAGTTAAAACTCCAATATCGAAAAAAACACAACAACACAGAAACTAGTCAACTGGTCAAGGGAGCCCCAGGGACTGAAACCCCTCCCTCTGCCCCACCCCCTGCCAGAGCCATGTAACTGCTGAACCTGTAGACTTAGATCCGTGTTGCAGCTGTTCCTAGAACAGGATGGGTGTGGTCACACTTGCTGGCTGGAACACCTGACCTTCCAGAGACACACTGGTGGCAGCAGTGAATCTCTGACAGGCTTTGTCTCACTGCACCTCACAAGGAAAGGCTTTCTCTGGCCACGTTGGAATCCTCTGCCTCCCAGAGGTGGACCTCCATTATCCTCCACGTCTTTGACCCCTTCAGAGGCTGAGCGATGGCTTCCATGAGGCCACAGGTGACAGGCATTGCCCTGGCCGTGCTGGGTCGGCTGGGTGCCATTCTGAGCTGTGCACTGCCCATGTGGAGGGTGACATCCTTGATGAACAGTGACATCCATGAAGCTGAGTTTGTGTCGGAGGGCTTGTGGAAGGTCTGCAATATTCTGAACACAACCCAGATTCAATGCGCAAAACACAAGTCACTGCTATATGTGCCAGACGACCTTTTGGTGGCTCGCCTTCTCGTGGTCACCTGCATCATTGTGACTGCGCTGGGTTTGCTGTTCTCCGTGGTGGGGGACAAGTGCAGCAAGTGGGTGGACGATGAGACCATCAATGCCAAGATCATGACCAAGGCTGGTCTGATGCTCCTGATGTCAGGTTTATGGTGACAGTTCTAGTGTCATGGATAACTCATGACATTATCTAACAGAACCTCAACTCTAGGGAGAACTCTGGGGAGATTCAGAAGATGGGGGCCTCGCTCTACATCGGTTGGGCCGCCTCTGTGCTGCTGCTGCTTGGAGGGGCCCTGCTGTGCTGCCCTAGGCTGCCCTGCCTCATCCTCCAGCCCCACTCTGCTGATTACTCCGCCCCCACTGTAAGGTCCCCATCCTCCTCAAGGCTAGGGAGAACTCTTTTTTTCCTACTCACTTTCTTACTTTCTTACTTACTTTCTTTCTTCCTTTATGCCTTTCTTTTGGTCTTTCTTTTCTTTTTGGGCGGTACTACAGTTTGAACTCAGGGCCTACACCTTGAGCCACTCCATCAGCACTTTTTTGTTGCATATTTTCAAGTGGGGTCATGAGAACTGTTTGCCTGGACTGTCTTCGAACCCTGATCCTCCTGATCTTATGACTGGCTCCATGCAGCTGAGGAGGGTTTCAGCCCAGGCTCCCAACCTCCTGACCTTGGCCGCCTCTGAATAAAGCTGTCGTGGATAACCGCTGACTGCGTGCTCAGCTGGGAGGGCAGCGCTGACCCGTGCTTTCCCTCCACTTGCTTGAGGGGGCGGGTGTGGTGTGGACACAGGAACGCATGTGCACCTGGTTTAGTGACACACATGAACTAAGTGTCCAACTCTAGTTCATGGACATGTGTTCTAGTCTAGCACATGGACAACACTGAGGGCACCCACCATCAGCAATGCATGGCAGGTCCCTGTGGGTTGTTGGTGGGGTGGGACTGTCATCTGGTGCTTTGCCTAAGGGGTGGCCTTAGACACCCCAGAGGCCAGGATCCCATGACCGCAGTTTGGAGGGACTATGTTTTTTCTTTCTTTTTTGCTTGTTTTGTCGGTACTGGGCCTTGAACTCAGGCCTCACTCTTGATAGGCAGGCGCTCTACCACTTGAGCCCCTCCACGTGTCCACGTCACCTGACTCGGTAGGGCTCAGCTCACATGAAGGGGTGAGGGTAGGACACAGGCCTGGCTGACCTCAGACACTGGGTTTGGGGCTCACTGAGAGAGGCTCATGGAGGCCCCAGCGGTGGGGGCAGAGGCTGGTGAGAGGAGGGGATCGCTTCACCCTTTCCACGTGTGAAGGTGGAGCAGTGGCCGTGGGTGTACATTGGAGGGAAGTACCTTCAGGGCTGGGCAGAGGCTCCTGGCCCTGGGTGCAGAGGCTGAGGCTCTGGTAGAGGCTGAGCACCTGGGCCTGTGTCACCAACTGTGGGAGCCATCCACCCCATGCAGCTGGAGGAAGGCCCAAGCCTGAGCTGGGGTGAGGGAGTCTCAGACTGGCCAGGACCGCTCAGCTGTCACCCTGGTGGATGTGTTGGGACTAATGAGTCAGAACAGGGCAAGGTTCTGGGTCCAGGGTGGGAGGACCTTCGGTGAGTGGGATGGTGGGCTTGAAGGGAGGACAGGGGCTCTGGGGAAGGCCTCACCTGAAAGCTACCAAGACAGTTCCACAGGCCACGTCCAGGATTAGGGCATCTGGGGTCAGGGCTGTAAGGGCTTGGGTGAGTCAGGCGACTGCAGGATGTCGCACCCTGAGGACATAGATCTGAGTTAACTTCACAGGGTTAGCCCCACTGTGGGGTAGGCCAGGAGCCTGTCTGCTAGCTGGTGAGACTAAGGTTTGGTTCCTGCTGAGTTACAGTGAGAGTGAGAGGAGATGCAGGCATGAGGCTCCTTTTACCACCAAGGGGCTATGTTGGGGACATACTCTAGTCCCTAGGCCACAGGGGTCAGCCTCCTAGGGACCTTCTCTGCTGCCAAGGTAGCTGTCTGTTCTATCCCTGGTGACCACGCCATGGCACCTCCTCCAGGTAGTCTGACTGTCAGATGCAGTCTCAGGCTGAGAAGGTAGTGGCCCCTTGATTGTGGAGGACAATCCAGACTGCATGGTGCTGGCCAGAGGCAGGGCCATTGTGGTGGGTAGAGGATTTTCGGGGTTCTGTAGTGGCAGGGTTGTCAGGCTGTCACCCAAGACTCATGTCATCTCACAACTTCCCCAGGATGCAAGGCGAACTGTTGCCGCATTGCACACAGAAAAACCTAGGCGAGGACCCCGGTGGGTTTACCTGGTTGAAGTCTGGAAGGCAGCGGTCATAGCAGTGGCACTTCAGGTCAGGTAGGGGACACCAGCATCTGGGGCAGGCCGGCACTGTCCTCCTGAGCCATTCTCCTGTGGGGACAAGGTCTCCCTGTGCCCAACTCACTTCAGTCATCCTTTCCCCTCGACCTCCCTTGCAGAGGAGGCTGTCAGGTCACCAGCGCAGTCCCATTTCACAGGAGGGGACACTGAGTGCGACACTGAGGGACTGGACTAAGCCTCTATGGTTAGGTCAGGGTTGCAGGAGCCAGCAGATTTCCCGCGGTGGGGAGGAGGACCTCCCTGCCCCATCAGTCCCATCTGGTTGGGGGTCGTGCAGACCACAAAGTCTTTATGGAGTGGATGCTCAGAAATCCCCAAGGACCAGGCCCGCCAGGGATTCGCGAGCTCTGGAACGCGGAGGTGGGGGAAACCATGTGACCGAGCCGGTCACGCCCCCATCGCCTTCGATGATTGGCTCGCTGCTGAGAGAAAACAGCCAATCAAAACAGAGGCCTGACACCCCGCCTCCTTTCACCAGCCAATGAGCACAAAAGACTTGCAGTCCTGCAGCCTGGGAGAATTACTGAATTTCTGAGATGTGTTGTGGCCAGCAGTGGGTTCGTGGAGACGTCGTTTAATCGGCCCCGTTCCGGGGGCAGTGACTGCACTCGATCCTTCAGCCATTGATTTGTGGCTAGGACGCCTCACTAACTGACTTTTTTGCTGATTTTTTAATTATTTTTCTTTGCGGTACTGGGGCTCGGACTCAGGGCTTCATGCTTGGCAGACAGTTGCTCTCCTGCTTCAACCACTCCACAAATGTCCTAATTTTGGGGGGGGGGTATGATGGGACTGAGGTTTGAACTCAGGGTTTCCCTCTTGCAAACAAAGCAGGGGCTCTTCCACTTCAGCCACACCTCTTGTCCATTTTGCCCTGGTTATCTTGGAGATGGAGTCTCGTGAACTATTTGCCTGGGCTGTACTCGAACCTTGATCTTCCCTATCTCAGCCTCTCAAGTACCTAGTGTTACAGGCATGAGTTCCTGGTGCCTGGCTTTTTCCTGAATATATATTTTTATTTTTGGCATTACTGGGGCTTGAACTCAGGGCCTCATGCTTGCTTCATTTGCTAGGCAGACGCTCTACCACTTGAGCCACTCTGCCAGCCCTGAATTTTGTTTTTTGAGACACGTTCTCTCTATGTAGCCAGGCTGGCCTTGACCTCAGGATCGTTCATGTGCTGGGATTACAGGTGTATCCTATGAGGTAAGACTGACGTTTTGAATTTCAAATCATGTGTTATTTTCATAAATTACCGTTCCTTATGTGGCTAGTGACCACCTCATTGGTCTGTCCAGGGTCTTGCCACTCAGCTCAAGATTCTACAATTTCAGTCCCTGAAATTGCCCTCCCTGAGTGTCGAGGGCAGCAGGACAGAAATGCAATGTTTCAGTCTGCCCCTGCCGTCTGTTTGTCCTGCTGGGGTTTGAACTCAAGGCCTACACCTCCAACTACTCCACCAGCATTTCCTCCCTCTTTTTGTGATTAAATTTTTTTTTTTTTTGAGATAGGGTCTGGAGAACTATTTGCTCAGGCTGTCTTTGAACTGTAATCCTCCTGAACTCTGCCCCTGCGTAGGTAGAGTTACCTGTGTGAGCCACCAGCACCTGGCTCTCCCTGCCTTCTGAAATAAAGATAGGTTGCTGGGGTGGAACCTCGAATTTCTCAGGTTTTTAAACAATCCTCCAGGTGGCCTCTAGGCAGGTAAAGTGTCAGAATGAGCACTGGTCTGAGCTAAGCATGGTGTCACATGCCTGTAATCCCAGCTCTCCAGAGCCAGAAACAGGAGGATGGAGAGTTCTAGGCCTGTCATGGTTGCATGGCTGCACAGAACAAGGAGACTCAGGATTGAGCAGCTGGAAGGCTGGAGAAAACCAGAGAGAGCTGGAAGGATCTAGCAGCAGTTTGTGATGCCAGGGGTGGCCACCAAGGCAGAGGGAAATGTGAGGTGAATCTGAGGGTCAAGGGCCACCGCAGGCTGCTGTGCATATGGGGTGACCGTGTGGCCATTAGACTCTGGAGTGAAATGGATCGTACGTGTCCTTACCTGGACCACAAAAATCTCCATATGGTCCCCACTGGAGAGGGATCTGAGCACCCAGAGGAGACTGGGGCCGTGAGTGGAAGGTGCCTGGGATCCAAAAGGAAGGCTTGGGACAGGACCCTCCCCTCCAGTCGCGCTGGAGTGTACCATGACTATTAAATAACCTTCCGTGTGTCACTCTGCTTGCAGTTTTGAACTTGTCACCATTTACCTCGTCACAGTGGTCTGTTTGTTTGGGATTTTGGGAATTCGCGCTTTTGAGGCAAGGCTGTACCACTGACTTACACCCCGAGTCCAACACAGTGATGTGGCCAAGAGCAGTTTCGGTAGTGGGGCAGTTGTGAAGGTGTGAGGGACACCGAGCTTTCAGATGTCACCAGAAGAACCACAGCCACATCTGTCCTAGCCCAGGACAATGCACAGTGAGGATGAGAGAAACCCATCGTCTCAGCTGCAGCCCAGCGCCTGCCTGGTGCTCAGCACTGCCCAGAGCGCCCCACCAAGGGGATCTGCAGCTCCTATATGAGAGCTGAGGTGAGCCACAGTGTTCTGGGGGCTCAACCTTGCCCAGCCTCTTGTCATCCTTCTGTGCTAGCTGTGGCCTTTCATTCTGTCACCTCATCACAGCTGGTGCACTGCCAAGAGGAAGGAGGAGGAAGGACAAAAAGCAGTTATGGTGAGCCTTCAATGAAGACAGACCCTATGTAAAATCACTGTAGGCCATAAGGGCAGGGGGTTTGGGTGAA